CAAAGTAATCAGGATATTTTATCATTTGAACTAAGATTATATGGTGGTAGGTTAGGGGGCAGCTTGGAGGGGAACACCTTGGGACACCATTGAGGGAAGATGGCTCTCTGGTGATGGATGTGGTGTTAGAAAGATATATCTATGAAAAATATAATTGTTAACCATATTGTAAATTCTGCTACCTCAATAAAAATGATAAAACAAAGAAATATAGAAAGTTAGTACACATAGGTGTGTAATTGAGACCCAGAGACCCAATTGAATCAAGGAAAGAAGGCAGGGAAGTAGGCTTTACCAGACATTGTAGAACCCCAGTAGAAACTCTATTTTAGAAATATTAACATTACTGATGATGTTTTTCAATTCCTTTAGATACTTTGTAGCATATGAAGTACAGTTACTTCATCTGCTTTGCTTCTTCAATTTTCTCAAAATCTCTGTGGGTAGGGTAGGACTGGCTGCCAGTGTTAAATGATAACCATATTTATTAGTAATAGATAATTAAGAGACTTCTCAATGTGATTACATAAACATAAATTTCCCTGAATCTTCTCTAGAACTATTTTCTGCTCTAGGACACCTGTCTCAGGGTGTATGGAAGACAACAAAGTCTAGGTACAGAAGAATATCTATAAAAGGGAAAGAATAATAACTTTACTTACTGATTTCTTTGAGATTATACCAGTGGTTTTAGTTTTATTTATGTTGGTGAGACTTGACTTTAACAAATAGCTTCCTCTGTCAAGATAAAATTGTTCTGAAATTGTTTTATTGTAATTAAATGAGATATTTGCACAGTGCCCATAATCTATTGTTGTGGTTATATTGTTACTTTTACAAATTTCTTACTGTCATATTATGCTGTAAGTGAAAGATTTAAGAAATGTGGTAGAATTGGAGTCACAAATTATCTGCTTGTTTTGATTGTTAGTATTCTCACTTTTAGGGCACATTTTATCTTAATTGCTGATGATTTGATAATTCTGGTCTGGGTTTGGCCTAGGTACTTTGATTACTACCGGCTGTACAAGTCCTATGATGACCTGGTACTGCTGAAGAACTATGAAGAGAGAAAGATGGGCTACGGTGATGGGAGTGGCAATACTGTATATCAGAACTTCATGTATTTTAACTACTATGGCACAGGTGACATGGCCAAGGTGGATCTTTCCACCAACACCCTGGTGTTGCGTCGCCCACTGCCTGGTGCTACCTACAATAACCGCTTCTCCTATGCGAGAGTGCCCTGGAAAGACTTTGATTTTTCTGGTGATGAGGTGGCACTGTGGGTACTCTATGCCACTGAGGAGAGTAAAGGTAACCTGGTTGTGAGTCGTCTCAATGCCACCAGCCTAGAAGTGGAGAAAACCTGGCATACCAGTCAGTATAAACCAGCTCTATCTGGGGCTTTTATGGCTTGTGGGGTGCTCTATGCCTTACGTTCACTAAGCACCCGCCAAGAAGAGATCTTCTATGCTTTTGATACTGCCACTGGGCAGGAGTGCCATCTCAGCATCCTGCTAGATAAGATGCTGGAAAAGCTTCAGGGCATCAACTACAGTCCCTCAGAACACAAGCTTTATGTCTACAATGATGGCTTCCTCATCAATTATGACCTCAGCTTTCTGTCAGTGAAGTGTACACTGCCAAGGCCATCAGCCAAAGGGCCCTCTGGGACTGGGGCTTCACCCAAAACTGTCAAGCTCAACAAGCCTTCCAGACCTTGAGAACTCAGGCAAGAAGATTGGTAGAAGCTTGAGCTTTACTTCACCCTACAGACAGAATGTTCCCTCAAATAGTCATCAATCCTAATGATTGGGAGGCACATTGATTATATATAATCAATTCTTTGTCATTAAAAATCTTAATCAGTATATAAAAGTTCTATTTAGCAATGATCTAAGTGGATTTTATTGGGGTTAAATAAGGGAAACAAAATTCTAGCTAGGACATGCGACCCTCTCTTTTAACCAGAGTTCTAGAATTATCAGAGATAGAATCTGTTTCAATAAATTTCATAATCTAAATTTTGAGAATTTTGAGTTCAAACTTTATAATTCTAGGTTTCTGTGAGATTTATTTATTTATTTATTTATTTATTTTGCCACACCACACAGTACTCCAGTATCATTGCTGGCTCTGTTCTCAGGAGTTACTCCTGGTAAGGCGAGTTATTTATCCCCTGTACAATCTCCCCAACCCCATCTTTGATCTTATTTTAGAAACGTGCAATTCAGATTAAAATACCCTGGTGTTAGTGAAGGACAAATGCTCATTAGAGTATGAAGTGAAAGCACCCTTTCATATCCACATGTATGTACTTGAGAGAAAAGAGATAGTATCTTGGTACAAAAATCAATGTTTCATTGTTAACACTCAATTTTATTTTGAATGCAGTTGAGAGGGCAGAGTAAGGCCTGAGTCCTACTTTATAGAGGGAACTGCAGATTAACATAAAGAGGATCTGATAAGGTTTGGGATAGAAATACATATATTTTAAATAGAGTCTTTTGGTAAGAAAATCTCTTGGCCAACTTTTAAGGTTTTTTTTGGGGGGGGGGCACACACAGAAGTGGCTCTGAAAACAAGAATCACTTCTTCTGGGGTTTTGAGGGGAAAAATATGGGATGCTAGTGATTAAACCCAGGGCAGCTTCATTCAAGGCAAATGCTCTACCCTCCTTTCTATCAGTCAGTTCTTTCTTGGGCAATTTATTGTAGTTTCTCTACTCATCTTCAACATATTGAGAATGGACTGAGTTTTCACTTTGTCACTTATCTGTTTGCATGGAACAGATATCATTACATCAATGAAATATTCCAGTTTTAAGTATTAAAATTTTCAATCACACAAAGGATACCAGGATATTTCACTCATTGTTAGCTTACACGTTCACAGTACACACACAGATATACATCCAATCATTCTTGTATGTTATATTTCTGTTTGTAGCCACACATCAGTATAGACGTAAATATTCTAACATTTTAACAAAATTTCTATCAGAAAATTTATATTAACCTGAATAAAAAAAACCATCTTTTAATTTTTTTATTTTATATAGTAGTTGACAATATTTGATTACATTTAATATTCAAAACACCAATCCCACCATCATTACACCTTCCCTCCACCATATTTGGGATGTTTCCATCCCAAGCCCCAATCCCTGTTCCAAAGCAGAATCAAAATAATAAATTTTCTATTATTTGTTATGAAAAACCACGGAAAATGCTACAAAAAAGTATCGATAGAGGAAAGAGTGTGAAGATTGTTCTATTTGGGCAGGGGCTATTCATACCTTCTTTAAGATATCACTAACATGTTGCTAAAGGTTGAGAGTTGTGAACTTTCATATATATATATCTGTTATATATATACTTATATATATTTATCATTTTTATATATAAATATACACATATACATTTCCCTCTATTTTTTTTCTGCTTTTTGGGTCATACCCAGCAATGCTCAGTGGTTACTCCTGGTTCACGCACTCAGGAATTACTATTGGTGGTGCTCCGGGGACCATGTGGGATTCTGGGAATTGAACCTGGGTTGGCTGCGTGCAAAGCAAATACCCTACCCACTGTGCTATTGCTCCAGACCCTACATTTCCCTCTATGATTGGTTGCCGACTATTTGAAGCCCATCAAATGTGGTGTGGTACTCTTGGAGAATGGGTAGGGAGTGTCTTATGATATGTCGCAGGTCCAGGAATAGGTTTACTCATGCAAGAGGCTCAGCCTGAGCATGTGGGGAGTGGCTTTGAGTGTGGCTGCAGTTGTGGAGTTGGGTTGTGGAGGTTTTTGGCTGCTGGGGCTGGCTCCCTTGGGGTGGTGAGGGCTCTCATCCACTCCCCTCTGGGGTGCCCCGAGTGAAACAGCCTGGTGCAGGGTACGGTGGCATGGCTATGGTGAGCATCATGTGCTCCCTTCCGTGAGAGAAGGACATGAGATCTGGATGGTGGCCTATGAGAAACTAAGAACCTATATTTTAACCTGTTCTCTGAGGAATTTCATGAATAATCACCACCACCTCCTCTTAGTGTATGATATCTTTCCCCTTAGTACTTTCACAGGTAAATAGCCATTAAAGATTGGGGTATATCATTGAAATTAATTATAAAACTTAAAAGCAGTAAAAAACAAGAGATAAGTGAGAGGAAACTATATTGTGAAAAGCAGCTTACTCACTTTTAGTTTGTAATGTCCCAAGAGAGTACCTACCTGGTTAGCCCCACTTGTGCTTCCAGGATATAGGGAGTCTTTTCATATCACAAATTAATACTCACAACTGCAGAATCTCAAAATCTAGAAGGAAATTATGACTAACAGCTGTGCTCCTGTTCTATTTAAGCTGTAATTTTTTGAAATCACTCAAAGAAACAATTTCTTTCTTTTGGAAGAGATTCCCTTCTGACTCATAAATACAGTTATATATTGGACTTTATTAAGCCCAACTTTTCCTACAAGTCTGGTATTCCTATGAGGTACCCAGACCCACACACAGCACTTGAAACACTTATTTTTAAAAAATGGATCTATATTTTAGAGCTTTATTCCTAGTTTTCAATAAAATCCTCTTGCTTCTTTTATTATGGAGACCTAGAATTAGACCCCCTCTTCCCCACATTGTCCTGGCAGAGTCTGTGAGGCTAGATTTGACATCACAATTTCCCTTTTTTGAAGAGACTATGCTCTTGGTGGGAGGGGCAGCCCTTGGAGGAGTTATCTCTATCTTACCTTGAACTAAATATGAATCAGTAGCCACGACAGACTTCTACTGGAAAACATCTGGAGAGCTGGGGTGAGGGTTCAACATCGGAAAAGTACTTGCCTCAGTCTGGCTATACCTCCCTATTCTGGGTCACAAAGAAACTAATTTGTGACCTGAGAAAACAACATCTGAGACAGAAGCCAGAGGAAACATATTTTTCCTGCCCTCACCCCTCTGCCTCTGCTTCTACCTGCTCTCCGTCAGCCCAAACACCGAGGTCCATGCCGCATGTCATCTCTCAAATATCCAGGATGGCCCACAATCTGCGTCCTTCAAGTCTACCTGCAGACAAAGATAGCTCTTTGAGTACGTCTCGAGTGACAGTGAAGACACCAGACAGTGAGAAAGACTTTGTAATAACTGATGACACCTCGGTGAGGCAGTTCAAGGAGAAGCTATCGGCTCACTTCAAATGCAAAATGGATCAACTAGTGCTGGTCTTCATGGGTCGTCTTTTGAGAGACCATGACACATTGAGCCAGAGGGGTGTCTTGAATGGCCACACCATCCACTTGGTCATCAAGACTAAACAGGGCTCCAGATTCAAAGCCCATTCCTCCCAGAACTTGCCAACTAATGAGCCTTGCCACCAGGACAGAAACAACAGAATCACCAAAGGAAACAAAAGTGGAGTATATCAACCGACTGGTCCCACTCCAGTGAGACCATCTGGTTATATGGAATCCAATATGTCCAAGGCATCGAGCCAAGACCTAAAAATGGGTAGTCAAGAGCATGTAGCACCAATGCTAGAGAATCCTATCATCCAGTGGCTTCTGTCCAACAGGGACTTCATTGACCAGTTGATTGCAGAACATCCAGAGATGCAGCAGTTGATGCAGCAGGACCCAGAGATTTCACACATCCTTGACAATTTTGCAATATTACGTCAGACTCTAAAGCTGGCCAAAAAATTTGCCAAGATTCAAGATACAGTGCATGTCTGTCAACCTGCAGAGAATCTTGAGCAACCTCACTACCCACAATCACACTTGGGTTTAGAGAAAATCTCTAGTGGGAAAAATGCTGTAGGTCAGAGCTATCCTGATTTCAATGATCACATGTTGAATAGCTTAAAGGATTCAACGGTGAGCAATGCCCTCATAGCTTTTCTGCGAAGACAGATGTCAGAGGTTCAGTTCTCATCCTCATCTGCACCATCATCCCAGGAACAGCGACAACAGCTCCCACAGATCCCTAAAGTCCAAACTATTTATACTAATTCTCGTGACTTATCTTCAATTTCATCAACTAGTGATGACCAAAACGGACCAAGACATACTTCTGGGGCCAATATATCAACTATACACACCAAGGACAGAAGCCATACTTGTGCTATTCAAGAGTCAGCTGGGGTCTTACCTAGCATAGAAATCTCTCACCACCCACAGACACCTTTCAGCATGATAGGTAGATCTAACAAGATATCAAAAGATGATCAGCAGTCATCAGGTAATTACACCCAATCCAAGATCACAGAAAGCATGATGCAGATGTTTTTGGATAATCCTAATCTGGCAATTCAGATGATGCTATTCATGAATATACCCCAGCTGAATAAGCAAAACTTGGCCACCCTTTTGCTGCAGACACAGATTTATGATATGCTTCTATCCCTGACCAACCCCAAAACATCACAAGCCATACTACAAATTGAACAGGGTCTGCAGCTATTGGCCACAGAGGCTCCTGTTCTTCTAACTTGCATTGCACCGTATCTATGGGGCCTGGGTTGGCTTCCTGCTCCCAACTTCACATCCTCTGATGCAGGGCGCTGGGCCTGTAATGTGCCAGAAATTTCTGAAATCAAAGAGCCTGAGTGCTGCCACAAATATGAAAACATTTTCCAGAGGCTGCAGTCTCTAATTGGTGACTCTTCTCAATCTCTACATGCCTCTGAGATTCAATTCAGCAAGCAAATGGAATCTCTTCAAGCTATGGGGTTTGGGAACCATCAAGCTAATCTGCAGGCACTCATTGCCACAAAGGGGGACACATTTGCTGCTATCCGCAAGCTCAGGAGATCCCAGGGGTTCTAAACTCCATGCTCTAAACTATTTGTCTTTTATCAGCCTACTCATCCATATTGGTCTACATCATCTACCTTTTACATCTCTTCTGTTTCTAGCCAAGAGAAGTCCTGGAATTGGAGAAAACAACCAATGCTTTCTCTATCGAATAGACCACTGTCCATGGCTGGAAGATCTGTCAATAAAATGGCTACATAAATCCATTTGTGTCCATCTGAGTCTTTTTCAAATGGATAGCAGCTATCTGTGCATAACATCCCTGCCTTACCTATCTTACATACATGGAACATGCCCACACATGCACCCATTAGCAGAGAGAGTATAACAGCACACATTGAACTACATGTCATGATATATTATGTTCACAGGCTCAAGAAAATGCATGCACATGCAGATTCAGTAAATTGCGCATGCATACACAAGCAAAAAAGAGACAAATATTCACTTATTTAGGCTCTTAGCACAAAGCTACACCTAGGACATGCATACAGTGCTACTCACAACCAGGTGCATACATCATAGCTGAATACATTTAGCTACAAATACACGGGAAGACAATATTTTTGTTTTTGTTTTGTTTTGTTGTTTGGGCCACATCCTGTGGTGTTCACGACTTACATCTGTCTCTGTGTTCAGGGATCACTCCCAGTAATACTCAGGGGTAACATAGGTGGTCTTGGGATTAAACCTGGGCTGACTGCATTCAAAGTAAATGCCTTCCCTACTTACTATCTTGGCCCAATAAGAGAGTCTTATGTACCCATACAAAAAGAAAAAACGTTATGTAGTCCAATGTTTAGGCATGAAGATTCCCTTGAATTCTCAAATATAACTGTTTCAAGTTTGAAAAAAAAGGAGAGTGACTTTGGAGACTAGATTAAGAAAAGTTCACATTTCAATCAAAACTTGATAATTCTTTTTGGTGTCTTTTGATAATTACATTGTCATTGTGTGTGTGTAATGTGTATGTGTGTGTGTGTGTGTGTGTGTGTGTGTGTGTGTGTGTGTGTGTATGATGTTAACTCCTCTCTAGTACTAAGATAAAACTCTCTCACCCTCACTGTATATTCCAGTCCCATGAATCAAGGGCTCATATAGAAGTGCATCTTTCAAGAGTATGACATTCTTCAGCAAGTCTAATGTTTGTAACTTATCTATAGCTTTTTTAACTTGTTTTTTCTATAGCTAGATAAGATTTCATTTCCTCCTGCAATTCCTGCCGCACCATGAGTAGTTTCCCAATTGGTATGTAATTGTGGTTTAATTACTCAAATATTAAACAATTTAAGTTTTTGTCAAAATTTAATAACTCAAATGTTGTTTTAGGCACTAAAGAAATATCTGAGAAAAATAAAAATATTTTTAAAGTAATTTTTCATGGGAATGTACCCTTGTTGAAGGGTAACACATGTTATGAAAATAATTGGAGTAAAATAAGGTATTCTAAGTGGAATTGTTTGGAGTTAGAATAAGTAAAGTAAAGTAAGTAAAGGCCCTCCCGTTGATCGTCGATTTGCTCGAGCGGGCCCAGTAACGTCTCCATTGGAGACTTTGTTGTTACTGTGTCTGGCATATCGAATACTCTCGGTAGCTTGCCGGGCTCTCCGAGAGGGGCGGAGGAATCGAACTCCGGTCGGCCATGTTGGCTGCGTGCAAGGCAGACGCCCTACCCGCTGTGCTATCGCTCCAGCATAAGAACAGTGCAAAATTATTCCCCAAAGTTTCTTACTCCCTCCAAAAATATTTTTACTTCCCATTCAGGCATTTCTACTAGTAAGGTTGAGTTTTAATAACCAGATTTTTGGCCTTATTATTCTTCCAAGTCCAATTTCACCACGGTCAGAAATTTTCTCAGGGTTTGCTTTCTGACGCTGTACGCAGAGTCTCTCCTGGCAGTACTCAGGAACCATATAAGTGGTGTTGTGGAACAAATTGGGAGCAGCTGCGTGCAAGCCAAGCACTTTATGTACACTACTTCCTGGGGCCCCTGTCTCCTTTATAAATTCACTTGACTTCTCTTCAGTACTTTCTTTTCATTTTCTGATTACTTAGCCTTACTTAGTCTCAATTTTCTTCGCTCAATTTATGCAAGCTTAAGATTAATAATTTTCAGATGTAATTATTTGTTTGTAATTGATTAATCATACCATAGAATATCTGGACATAGCTTTATATGTCCATGTATGAATAAGATTTATCACATCCACCACCAAAGTTCTAGTATCCTCTTATCACCAAATATAAACCTCTTTATTCCTCCCCCATACCCTATTTTGTAACCATTGTAGTTTTTAGCTATATTTTATAAATGTTGATGTTCCAATTGCCCATGATTTTTCACTTTACTCACTAACCTCATTATTCTAAATGTTAATATGAAAGACTATATAAACTTATAATATTCATCTACCTTTCTCTATTTTCATTTGGATATAATAGTCATCTCAAATTTTATATCTCAAACATATAAAGGCTAAACTTTTGTTCACAACTTTATTTTTTATTTACAATCTCGTCAAATAGTCTGCTTTTCATGGGCATAATATTTTTTTACATAAAACTATGTTCATCATTCTTGACCTTTATCTCATACCCTAGATCCTACCTATTGAATGACAATACCTTGAAAAGGCATAAAGAACTAAAAACTAACACTGAATCAGATAAATATGATGCCAGGAAGTAGCTGGACTTGGTTCTTAATAATATATATGCAAGATATATTAAAAGCACTAATTTCCCAATTCGCATCTACATGTACACATATAACACCAGGGCATGTGTTAAAAAAGGACAGGACTTTTGATCTGAGAAGATAAAGCCAGCTTAGCCCTTTACTATAAAGAAAAGCTAAAGGGTTGTAGAGCTTGTGGGAAGATGGAATTTTTTTAGAACTCCAGAACATTTTGGAGAAATCTCAAGAATCTACTGCATGAAGCTATGATGTCAATGCTGAGGTCACAAAGGTGACTTGATGGAGTGGGTTCCGGCCTAGAAGGCTTCAGAAGTGTCTGTTCAGCAAGATGAGGGCTGTTTGGAGCCCTGTATAAGAGGAAGGACGGGGTCGCAGCTGGTTGGTACGTATTCCCCAAACTGGGCCCTTCTTGTCTTTATCTCTTTTCATGTCACCTTAAGATACTTTGTCCCCCAGGGTCTCAGGATTCCCTTACCCCAACATCTCTCAAACCCATAATTCTCCACAAGTATCCCAACCTAGAGACACCTTTGCCCCTTCAATACAGATTCTAGTTTCTCTGCCCTGAGACCCCAAGTCCTCTTTCTGCTCACCTTTCCTACTTTTACCATTATCCAAAAGGGTGACCTGGGTCTCCCATCTCCATTCTCCCAGCTGTGTCCCCACAGAACTGGGCCTCCTGCTGACCACCATGGCCAAAAGCGGAGAGGCCCTGCCACAGGGCAGCCCATCACCGGTCCAGGATTCCCACCTCATCAAAGTGACAGTGAAGACGCCCAAGGACAAGGAGGATTTCTCAGTGACAGACACTTGCACTATCCAGCAACTGAAGGAAGAGATATCGCAGCGCTTTAAGGCTCACCCTGATCAGCTGGTCCTAATCTTTGCTGGCAAAATTCTCAAGGACCCTGACTCACTGGCACAGTGTGGAGTGCGAGATGGCCTCACTGTTCATCTGGTCATCAAGATGCAGCGTCGTGCCATGGGCACAGAATGCCCAGCTGCTTCAATCCCTACCCCAGCCCCAAGCACTGGATCACTCCCTCAGCCTGGCCCCATTCACCCAGCAGATGGCCCTCCTACCATCAGCTTAGGTGTTCTCACAGGCCTCAACGGGCTGGGCCTGACCTCTGGTAGTTTCCCAGACCAGCAAAGTTCACTGATGTGGCAGCATTTGTCCGTACCTGAGTTTGTGGCTCAGATCATCGATGATCCTTTCATCCAAGGTCTGTTGTCCAACACCAGTCTCATGCGCCAGCTAGTTCTTGACAATCCCCACATGCAGCAGTTGATCCAGCACAATCCGGAGATTGGACACATTCTCAACAATCCTGAAATCATGCGGCAGACACTGGAGTTTCTACGTAACCCTGCCATGATGCAAGAGATGATGCGGAGCCAGGACCGGGCACTAAGTAATCTGGAGAGCATCCCTGGGGGCTACAATGTGCTTCGTACCATGTACACAGACATCATGGACCCAATGTTGAATGCAGTACAGGAGCAGTTTGGTGGCAATCCATTTGCTACCACTACTGCTAATACTACTAACAACAGCCGACAACCTTCAAGGACAGAGAATTGTGATCCTCTCCCCAACCCCTGGGCTTCTACACACACAGGTTCAGGAGCCAGAGGTAGCAGACAGCCAAAAGACCAGGATGTATCTGAAGCTAGAAATAAGGCTCCCAATGTTTTGGGTAATACAGGGCTCTATGACTATCTCCAACAGTTACATGAGAGTCCCCACTCCCTAGGAACCTATCTGCAGGGAACTACATCCACCCTTAGCCCGAACCAAGAAGCATCATCCTCAGGAAATAGAATTCCTCCAACTTTACACTCATCCCAGGAAAGTGAGTCGGGTCAGTCACACCCTAAGGAGTCAGTAACTATCAAGGGAAAGTCATCCTGCCCAGCTTTCCTGAGATACCCTCGAGAGAGCAGTACTGGACAAGATGGAAACCAAGACATTACCGGGAATCCCTCCACTGGCCGTAACTCCGCCATGCCTGATCTTATCTCAGGTTTGGGAGGTTCTGGCTTCAGAGCACAATTTGTCCCTTCAACAACTACTCCCATGGCAGGTGATCCCCCTGGAATCCCTGAGCATACCTGGTTGCCACCATCAGTTTACCCAAGATCTCTGAGAACAGCTGGCATGAATCGGGGACCCCAATTGCAGGATGAAATGCGCCGGCAGTTGCCACTACTACTACATTTTCAGGCTGCCATGGCAAACCCCCGCGCCATGCATGCCTTGCTACAGATTGAACAGGGCCTGCAGACCCTGGCTACTGAAGCACCTCGCCTC